TCCGATGGTGATTGAAGTCTTCGTAAGTGCAGCATATCCCTTGTAGAACCTATAGAAACTTTCGTATCGGAATTTGGAGGCCGTGGGCCTCGCAGGCCCGTTTGACCCTAGGTTGACCGTGAGACTTCCGAGATAGTCTTACCCTTCTTTGAGGGTTAGAATGACCGAAGTGACAGGTCTTGATGTTATGTGGGTTATGGGGGATTATCGGATGCTAGATGGTTGTGAAGGTCTTTACAATATTAGAAATTAATATATTTAATTGTGTGGATGTATAAAGGTATAAAAAGGGATTGAATATCAGTTTGCAGTGCTATACTCACTACCCTATGTAATCCCCTGTGATATTGTGTTGAGGTCGCACGTGTCGTAGGAGTAGCTGGCGTGTTGATAGACCCCATATGTGGTCGGGTGCATCCCGACGTATGAGGAAAGATATGTGATCGTGTGAGGTCGTACGTGTCGTAGGAGTAGCCGGCGTGTTGACAGACCACATACGTGGCCGGGTGCGTCCCGACGTATGAGGGAATATATGTGATTGTGTGAGGTCGCACATGTCGTAGGAGTAGCCGGCGTGTTGACAAACCCCATACGTGGCCGGGTGCGTCCCGACGTATGAGGGAAGATATGTGAATGTGTGAGGTCGCACGTGTCATAGGAGTAGCCGGCGTGTTGACAGACCCCATACGTGGCCGGTTGCGTCCCGACGTATAAGGGGAGATATGAGATTGTGTTGAGGTCCCACGTGTTGTAGGTTTATCCGACGTGCAGACAAGCCCCATACTTGACTTTGGATGTTCCGGCGTATGGGGAGGTTTTGTTGAGTTGTGTTTTAGAGAAAAAAGGTTTTAGAGAAAGAACTACGTGTGGCTTAATCCCTCAGTAAGGGTATGTAGGCAACCTGAAGTTACTAGGTGTAGCCACGGATTAGATTTAGTTAGGTACTTTGTTGAGTTTGGTTCGAACCTTGTCGTTGGTCCCAAAATTTGGGTGAAAGTGAGATGCAGTCGTGTTAGGAGGTTGGAGCCTCGTATGCTAATTGATTTGGAAAATTAAATGATATAAATTACTTTTGGCTTGCATAAGTGCATTTGATTATGTTATTTGGCGTAAGGAATGTGTTGGTAATTTGTTTTGAAGTATTTGAAGGCCGGAGGCCAAGTAGCTGAATTGCATGTTGTTATCTTGTGCATGCTGCCCGTTGTGATATTAAAATGTGAATTTTGTGCAGGTTGAAAATTGGGGAATGTTCAATTTACAGGGGACTCTGCCGAAATTTCGGAAGAAAGTCTCGTGCCCCTACTCCTTTTTGAAAAAGGAGGTTACAGTCTAGTGAGTGGGCCTGACATCGGGGTGATGTCGGGGTTTCCACAGGGTTCGTCTTGGGTTACGGGAAATTCAGGACGGGTCCTATCAGAGGCTGTTGGAACTCGCCGAGGAGCTGCTGGAACGCGCTGGCATGGGAGAGAGGAAGAGAGAACTATGAGATAGAGTTGAGACAGAGAGCGCGAAGAGAGAGCTGAGAGAGAACAAAAAACTGACCAAAAGTGTTATGTAGCCGATAAGTGGGCAGTATGTATTTATAGGTTATATTTGCAAAATTTGTGTTGAAAGGTGGTATTTGCATATAAAATTTGGAAAGCAGTGGCATAAAGCTCTATTTCCCTAGATTATTAGGCTCGGAGAATAAATTGGACTGGAGTTGGGCTTGAATGGCTTGGAAGAGTATTTGGGCTGGAAGAAGGATTAGGCTTGGAGAATAAATTGAGCCTGAAGTAATATTATATAAATAAATAAATATATAATTTATAATATATATATAAGTAAATAAATATATAAAATTGAAAGTGGAACCGAATTGAACTAGTTCAGTTTTTTTTTTTTCTCGATTTTGACTTTTTTGGTCAACGGTTTTTGCCTTTTTTTTCCGGTCCAATTCAACTCAGTTTTGCAGTTCTTCGGTCTAAATGCCCACCCTTAATAGTAGCCATCTAGTCATGCAATGACAATAATAATGCGCTTTTGTGAACAAAGAATGAAGTTATAATTCCTGGCGTCTTTTTCCTAGTTTCTAAAGCCAAATTCTTTTTGGGTAAATGGAGCCATTGAAGATGTTAGTTGCACCAGGGCTGTTCAAATAGCAACTGGTATTCAAAGACCCAAAATCCATTCACAACTGGAGTTCGAAAACTACAAAATATGGATGATACTTTCGCTGCCCATCAAAGTTTTCATGTTGCAGTTTCAACTGTTCCAAATCTCATTTCGTGTCTTTTGCAGTATTATCAAAAATATCTTGAACAAGTATCCTGCAGTTGAGTTGCAGCAACTTCACATGATGTAGACATGCTGGGATTCTTTTACCTTGCCAATACCAGCAACATCACTAGTATAATGAGACACAATCTTTCAACATAAATATGTTGGACATATTTGGATGCATATTTACAATTATTGTCTGATTTTCAACAAACCTTGATTGGAAATTATGAAATAGATAAAACTGTTACATTTTGTCCCCAACATACATCAATTCCAATGAATGAGATAGAAGAATCATAGACAAAGTATATGTGTGGAATGAAAGCATTAGATAAATCCGGCTTTGTTCATCCGTGGATAAATGTTGGATTCATCATTTGAGAAGAAAGGTATTACCTTATACAACTTCAAATGGAATCTCAGAAGCTGCCGGCGCCTCAACACACCTCTTTGATTGCCAGACCATTGTCCAGAAATTTGGTCGTTCATTTCGACATCTGAACCTAGGGCTCACATAAACCACTTTGAAACTTCATTGCCTGAAAATTTAATATCGAATGTAGAGCGCTAAGAAAAAGGATTTAACCCAAATGAAAAAGAAAAAAAAATTCACACCCTGAAAACTACGACATATACGCCAGAGATGCACAACAAAATATTGCTAAATTTGAATTGAACACAAAACGCAGATATATGACTAGAAAATGCAAAGATATCATTCAACATTTAATGGATTTACATACTCTGGCTCCTCACTAAGATCAATGTGCGTCCTCTTTGGGTGATTCGCTGGTCCCGTAAACAAAGTGAGCCATTGAGCTTCATGATCACCAACGTCGACGACGTTAGCACGATGATCATCATCAAGTGCCATGAAATATGATCCGCGAGGCCTCTTGCCAAGACTAGTCTTTGATGCTAAAGGCAATAAGGAAAGCAATTTGTAGTCTTGGTGTTGATCATCATGAATACCATCCAGCTTCATATCATCATCATCAACTGCCATCGCATCAGGCAACCACCACTGCGTTGGCCCATGATCTACAACATCAGTCTCACTGACATCAGCAACCTGGTGGCCTAATAGGTGGACCCCGCAGGGGATTTTAACGGGTGTGGGCACTTTGCCAGACAAGTCAAGTATAACTTGACACATATTACCCTGCTTCGTCAGTGGTTCTTCACACTTGTACCCATCCAATAATGGAATAGACGTGAGGTACACATGACTACTTTCCAATAATCCAAGATGTCTCTCATTGACGAGTTTTCCATTGACAAGAATCTTGGCAATACCACCAATAACAACACATAGAACCAATCTTAACGTCTCCCATTTTAAATTTGGAGGAATTTCAAAACTAACTTCACATCCAGCAGTGCATCTCTTTGTTCCAATACTTGAAATCAAATAATGGCTAACTATTGTTGCATCTTTACGACAGCTGAACCACTTTGGAACTTCATCGCCTGGAAGTTTAATGTCGAAATCAGAATGCAGATGAGAAACAGAAACTTGATTTAGAAAAATATTTTCTGTGATGTCGTAGCTGCATAGTCTAACACAATTGGTCAAACTCAGACGAATATCGTCATCCCCCAGTGAGAGTTTTGGAATTTTCTCCAACGATGTGCAGTTATCCAGAAGTACCCAAGCCAGTTTTGGAATTTTTTCCAATGATGTGCAGTTATCCAGCAATACCGAAATTACTCTCGGTGGAAGCACTTGTTCTGGAATTTCCAGAAGACTCTTGCAATCACTCAAGTCAAGATTCTGCAAGTTGACAAATTTGCTAAAGCATATCGGAAGATTGACAAAATTGTTTCTTGATAGATCAAGTTCTGTTAATGTGTACCAGCAATCAAGGGGCAGGAGGAAATCACTTTTTGATAGGTTGGGAAACAGCGGCAATTCAGAGTTGCTGGATGAAACTTGAGAGTTCACTTTTTGATAGGTAAGGTTCTCACAATAATCAGCTCTAAAGTGAGAAAGCCCGGTAAGATATGCAATTGATGAAGGCAATTCTCTTACACCACTTCCTGATATGTCCAAACTCCATAGTGATTCCATCTCGACTTCTATTTCTGGGAAACTCTCAAGCCTTTTGCAATCCCTAAGATCAAGTTCTTCAAGAGATTTCAATCTAAGTGTTGTTGCAAACCTTGTAAGATTGAAGCATCCACCAAGATCCAATTGAACAAGTTGATCAAGGAATCCAATAGAACCATCGACCTCAAACAAAAGTGTGCACTCACGTAAATTCAAGTACTTTATGTTTGGGATTCCGGATAAGTTAGGGATTTTTTCTAAGAATTGACAACCCCTCAAATTCATAGATGTCAGCTTTGACAAATGCTATGAGACAAGAACACAAAAACATGAAATAATTAATCACACGCTTCAAAAGACAAAAACTTAGAAAACAATTTTTCCTTTTTTTCCTTATGAAATTAACAATTGTATTTGAAATTATATATAATAGATGAAAATAATTTCAAATGCATACCTTAAAGTTAAATCCATCCAATTGTCTGATATGACTGCGAGGCATACTGAACTCAACAAGACTATTTCCTTGAAAATTGGGTGGCAAAGATTGTAACTGACATCTATCCCAATCAATCAATCTTAACGCATTGGGCAGATAGTTAATGTGCCCACATAGCGATGCATTATCGTTTATGAAAATTTCAAGATTTACCATATTACGGAAGCATTCTGGATTCAAGGTTATCTCAGCTGGTTCTGGAAGCTTCACCATGATGCCTTTAATTTTTCTTGTTCCCTAAGATGGAAAAACATTAATTAGGAAACGAAGTCATTGTACAAACCAAAATGCAAGCACATTTTGTTAAGAAATGTACAGGTAACATAAGGTATTCTTTCTTGTCAAATTGAGTATAATAACATATGTGATACTTACTGTACTTTCCGTTAGAACTTGTTTGACATCCTCGTAAAACCACAATCTACTACGCTGGCCAGGATCATTGGGGGATTCTTTGTGAACTATATCCTTGCCCAGGTTTGCTAGCAACTCGTGCATTAAAATCTTATCATCCCATTCAATAGTTATCATTGCCTTATCAACGAATTCTTCAATGAATTTTTTGGGTACTATTTGTAGCACATAGTCCCTATATTCACCCTTGAAGAAACATGCAATGTCGAGAAAAAATTCTTTTGCGCAATCATCCAAGGCATCATAACTTTTTCGAAGTATTCTTTCAATATGTGTATAAGGTTCTCCTTTGTAACCATCTAATATAACTTGCCAACGTTGTATACCTCTATTATGAAGATGAGAACCTAAAATTGTCAGAGCTAGTGGAAGGCCATCAGCAAAAGCTATTGCACGTTGTGCGAGTTCCAAATAATCTTTTGGAGGTTCACTTCTTCCGAATGCATGCCAACTGAAAAGCTCAAGAGGTTGGTTGTAATATAACTTCTTCACCTCGTATATCAACTCAATTTCACGATTGTCTAGCAATCCCCTATCTTTTGTAGTAATGATTACTCTACTACCCTCACCAAACCAATCATCTCCAGCTAAGTTGTCTAACTGCTCCAATTCATCCACATCGTCAAGAATTAATAGAATTTTTTTATGCCTCAACCGTTTCATTATAACACCAAATCCTTCATCAACATTTCCAATTTTCAAAATTTTGCCTAGAATCTTATTAAGAAGATTCTCCTGTAGCTGGATTAAGCTTCCTTCTCTCACATTTGGCAAGAAACAACTTCCTTCAAACTTGTGGGCAATTTCATTCCATATAGCTTTGGCAATTGTTGTCTTGCCTATTCCAGATGCCCCCCATATCCCAACCATGCGACGACCATTCCCATCAACATCTAAAAGCCTTTCCACATCTTGTACGCGAGATTGAATTCCAACTGGGTACTTGGCCACATTCAAATATGTGCGGCTCAGTCCTTGGCTTAAGATTCCATCAACGATGTTGTTGATAAATGTAGCTTCGTGCCTGCCAGTTTAACTTAATTAGACACATTTAATGAAGTACGTAATAGCTCTTATGACCAAAAAAGTAATAGAAGATGTAACCACAAACCTAATGTTATGTATCATTTATACTTGTATGCCTTTTGAAGAAAATAAAGGGGGGTTTTGAACCTTCTTACAATTTAATATCTTTTAAAAAGGATACCTTTCTTTAAGAGTAACAATTAAATGTGCAACTAGAGAAAGAAGAGAGAAAAAAATTAAACTTGAAAATGATAAAGAAAGAAATATACTCTTCATCCTTGAAAGGATGTCCGGACAAATTTGCTGCTTTTGTAAGAGCTTCCCTCCATATGAGCACCTTCTTCTCGTTATCTTTGAATTTGCTTTCAATAAGGCCGTTAAATGCGTCACCAAATTTATTTGTTTGGTTTCGCACATGAGATGGATTCACCCTGTAAAAAATGGGCCAAACTATTTGCTGCTTTGATTGTTTACATCGAAGGATCTCAACAAGTTCATCCAAACACCACCTCGAAGATGCATAGTTTTCAGAGAATACAATGAGAGAAATTCTTGAGTCTTCAATTGCTTTGATAAGGGCCGGCGCTATTTCTTCTCCTCTTGGAAGCTCATCATCATCAATGAAGGTGTGGATCCCTTTACCAACCAGAGCATTGCGCAGATGATCTGTAAAATTGGTGCGTGTATCCTCGCCTCTAAAACTCAGAAAGACATCATATGGAGAAGAAGAAGAAGAAGTAAAAGAAGAAGAAAAGACTGGTTGAGTGGTCATAGGAGGCAGATAATTAAAACTAAAGAGAAGCCCAAAGAATTGGGTATGGCAGTGGCTCTCTAGTTAGATTTATGAGGGCTTGACGAATCAGTTTCCTACAACCTTCCATGTGGAGGAGCTTTCGTTTCAACTTCAAGTCATCAGACGCTGAATTTTCTTTTCTTACTGACGCGGTCTTTAAATTACTGAAGCATATATAATTGCAGCTCACTGAAGATGAGAGGCACTACCTTTACCTTTACCTTCTTTTGATTACAATATCTATTGGCACTACCTTTACTTTTACCTTCTTTTGATTACAATATCTTTTGGGTGAGACGCACTACCTTTACCTTACCTTTACCTTTTCTTTTGGTCGTTTAGCATCTATAATGGTCTTCTTTTTGGTATTAGCGATTTTTTTAAAACCACTTTCTTTTGACAAAATTTAAGAACAAATCGAAAAAACGAACACCAATAATACTGCCTATCCATCTCTTAATATCAAAAGAAAAAGGGCAACTGTTTAGTTTTTTACTGCTTTTTTTTTTTTTTTTTTTTTTTTTTTTTTTTTTCATTTTTTATCAACTTGCATTTTACAGGAGAAAAGGAGAGAAAATATATAACTCGGCTGCCAAGTAATTATTATGTGAAATTGATATGACCATAATAATTCAGTAAATGTTAGAAAGTTTCTCTGTAAATAGACTTGGCAAACGGGTCGTTTTAATGGGTTTCGGGTCGTATTCGTGTTAACCAGTTAATTTAACGGGTTGACAAGACATGACCCGTTAAGCTAATGAGTGAGAAATACCATACCCAAACACTACCCGTTACAATTCATGAATGACCCGACACGACCCATTAAGAATAAACTTTATAAAAAAAAAATAACCCGACCAGCCATCAACCCACTATCTCTGCCCTTTTTCTCCCAATTTTCATCTTTCATAAACACCATCCAAAAGTTTACAGGTTCAGGATTAGTC